GTACCTACTAATTAGTATTATAATTTTTTAGAATTTAGTTATATTTATTTAATCTTTTTCTATTATTTACAGAAGCATATTCAGTTGTTCCATTATTAGTTTATTGTGTAATATATTTCATATTAACCGAGTTAACTGTCGGTCTTAACATGTCAGCTGGATTGTTTTTGCCTTCATTATTGATTGGAGCTGCTTGGGGACGTATTGCAAGCATAGTTATTCATTATTATTCTCCTGGTACTGTAAGTGATTTTGCTATAGCATTAATATTAAATAATACAATTAAATTAAGAAAATAAAAAAAAAGCTGGTAAGTAAGTGGATGTCGCTCTGCTGTACAGTAGGTTACAAGTGGGTTACTTTAATAGATGGTATTAAATTTGAATTCAATGATATAATATCATTATATACGAAAAACGATTTTGAGTGGAGACTGTTTGTTATTCTAGGATATGTTATACCATATTATATTATATAGTACGATTCACACGTTTGAGTCACCGACTTAAAAGAAAGTGGTGAGACAAATCGGCTTGTACGATATAACACTACAAGATAAACAGTGATAATGGCTATTTGTTTTCATTTAGTATATTATATAACTAATTATCACAGTTTTTATATTATCAACTAATAAAAATGATAAAATAATAACACAATTTGAATTAACAATGTTTTAAATGATCGAATTTATAGCCCTACATTTAAGTTACGTGTTTTGGGTCTAAAAAGACTTATATTAAATAAGTATAATATTCTCTACTAACAAATTTAAATTTGTTGATCTTGAGGTGTTTTCATGCCAATCGATGTGTTACTCCACTTTTTTTAGTTAACAAATCGAACGTGAAAAAGCAGGACAAGCGCAAACCCATTGTAAAACCTCTATTCGAATGAGAATTTTGCAAAAAATAAGACTAATAGTGTTTATTTTAAAATATAAAATGTCTTCGATAAACTCAGATTTTAAAGGAAAACAATTTAAAAAAAAATCTTCATTGGGTCATCACGATTTCATCTGTTTCAGAAACACCTTGTATTTGATATATTTTAATACTTTTTTTTTGTTTTTTACATCATTTAGATACATGCCCTGGTCATATATCATAACTAATTGAAATTATATTCTGAAATTTTAAGTCTCTCGTACTTGCTATACGTATCATACTGGTTTGGAGTTTAATTTTTACAAATATTTGCTCATAATCATATTTGTTCTAAACACACCTTGTTGAATAATGGGTATTTACTTTAGTTATATGTCAAAAAGCGTTTAATTGTATTCATAAAAGTTTGTTTAACCAGAATAAAATAATTGGAAGTTATAAGTAAGGGTTCACAACATACGTGTCAAACAAAGTTGAATGTAAAATACAACTTGTATTGTCAGTATAGCGTGTTGCCAACATTCTGTTACCAACAAATTGTATTATATAAATTATATTATATCATATAATAAGTAAAAACTATAAGTAACACAAAACGGCATGGTGAATTCTGTACCCATCTTACATTTATGTGGGAGGAAGTTATCTCTAGAAAGAGATTATTTCTGAAAATGTACAATGCAATGGCTACACAACATCGACGGAGATGAACAAATTCACATTTTTTTTTTTTGTACGGGAAATCTCGAAAGTGTTTATCACAATCGTTACTACTAACGTTTTTCTTAAAAATAACTTAAAAATAAAATTGTTATTTTAAATAAACAACTTAGGAAAGCTCTTACTTCGAACGTTATTAATTCCCAGTTTCTAAATTTTTTTAAAACAAATAAATAAATAATAACTCCAAATAAAAAAAAAAAAACATGGTAACTTTAATTGTTTGGTAATATATTTCAATGCCTAGTTTGAATCTTACATATACAATAAGTAATAATTACTTAAAAATTAAAATCAACAATCTTAAATAAATATCTTAATGACAACAATATTAACTATATACTGGCATGTATTGAAACTAACGGGTGGATATAATGGGAGTATAAAGGTGTTCTAAACTTATATTAAGAAACCTAAGACGTACTGTTTCAATTTCAATTTTGTAAAGAATTTGCTTTTAATTTATTGGTGAACCGTTTTTTTTTTTTTTTTAGATTGGAAGCGACCCAGGAAAATACGCGTTACTCGGTGCTGCAGCACAATTAGGAGGAATCGTCAGAACTACTATAAGTCTGACAGTTGTTTTTATTGAAGCCACAGGAAATGTTCAGTTCTTGTTACCGCTGATGATAACTTTATTCACAGCTAAATGGACTGGTGATTTTTTTACAGATGTAAGTTGCAAAAAATATGATTACAGGTATTCTACGAGTAACTATATTACATTGTTATAATATGACGCTTAGATATATTTTAATTATTTTCTATTTAATCATTACGCAGGTATTTCAATGTATTATTGAATCAGAAAATATGTGTTTGTATCAACTTCTTTTTTTTAACTAACTATAAAGCTTCAACGCCCTTAGTTATTCAAAACTCTATATATTTGTTAAATAAAATAAAAATCATAGGTTTTATAGTGATTTTTTATGTATATATTTGGTTGAATATTCAATATTGAGAGATGGTTTCTGGTAGAAAATTTTATATATTGGATATTTTACACTTTTGGAAAACCAAGAATATTTACGCAATACTTGCTAATTATCGACAAAATTAATTGTGTTCATTTGTTACAATTAAAAATGAATTACAAAAGATGTACTTCAAATAGGTCTTAAGTATATTCACATTATCGTTTACTAATCATGCTACAATTTTAAATATATTTTGAAGAAATTTTATATAGATATAGATATTTCAAAATTTTAGATACACATTATATGTTTTCCTTACTGGAAATACAAATAAAAGTTTAAATTAAATAAACTGCATATACGCTATGTACGGTTTTATGTATGATAATAATATAAATAGTAAATAATATAGATATTATACATATATTTATATTGCATTAATTTTCAATTGGATAAAAATTATATGGAATACTTACTTTACTAATACTAACTTTTAATTAAAAACATGAAATAGTTGTGATTAACTTAGATTTATGTGTTAAAGGGTATTTATGAAATGCAGATTAAGCTGTCTGGTGTTCCTTTATTGGTAAGCGAACCACCGCCTTTAACTAGTGACATAACGACAGAAGATTTTATGAATGATGCAGTCTGTGCAATACCTCATATACTAATGGTCGGAAAATTAGTAGATATATTGAACAACACTAAACACAACGGGTTTCCCGTAGTAGCATCAAAAGTTTGCTTCTGCCGGGTAAATATATGATTAAGAGATTTACCAAGTTCCAAAACTTGTTAATAATATCTTAATATCTTCTGAAACATTATTCACAGACAAGGAATATAGAGCATAAATGTTATGGCTTACTTAAAGGATTTATTCTTCGATCTCAGTTAAACGTCATCCTTGAGCACAATTTATATCTCACTCCTTTGCATGATGAAAATTATTGTACAAAACTGGAGCTCCTTAGAAAGTCAACGTATACTTGTCATAACACTCAGCCGTTCCAGGTAAATTTATGAAAATTTAAGTTATAGTTATATTTTTGATAGTGATTGCTGCATAGTTCATACTATATATGGAAGGTGCACCTGGCGAATTTGTTGATTTAAATTGGCAATATTGTTAAATAGTACAGATGCACTCATTTATATGTATAATATGAGGTTTATTTTTATTTTTTAAGTCTTGCCCTTCAATTATAGTTCAAATATTTATAAAATTAAATAATAATATGTATAAATGTATAAATATATTTTAGAGATTAAAAGTTGATGAAGATAAAAGAAGTATTGTTATTGACCTGCGACCATATATGAATTCAGCACCATATATTGTGAGATTAGTAAGTACTTAGTTTAGTTTGAACAATATTTATTATAATTGAAATAAAATAAATTAGCAAGAAAGTTAAGTTAGGAAATTACATTAATACTTGATATATTATGTATATGATTTTACACATTAATAATTATATTATGTTTATTATAACATTAGTCATTATAAGTTATAAAACAAAAGCAACTTCGACTAGCTAATAGTTATGATACGTCTTGTATAGACTATTAGGATCTTTTTATACCTAGGTTAAGTTTTTGTTTTTTTATTCGTGTCTTCGTTACATGTTAATCCATACATTACCCTGTAATCCAGTGTTCTGGTATTCATAAATCTGATATTTCTATTTTTCAATACTGTTAACTTAGAACAATATTATATTATTACATTTATCCTACATAACATTATAATATTAATTAGATACCTATATGTGCTGTGTATATTCATATCAATAATTAGTTTTTTTTATAATTATAAAAAATTGAGGAAACTGTTCATGATGTAGTCATATAACTAATACATTAAATATATATATTATATATTTATATAAGTATAGGTATATTATAACGAGTAAAAAAATATCTGAAAGTGGATCAAATCCACTTTTAACTACTTTAAGTCCTAACGCTGGAACAAATTATACTCGAATGTCTATAAAACTGCAAGTATCATGTACATGTTACGGGCAAAGTAGAAAGTCGGGCATTGTGCACAATGACTGGGCATTGCAGTGCACAATGCCCGATTTTCAAGGGCAAAGTTGGAATAAGTTAACGTTGCCCGGGCATTGTATACAGTGCCCAATTAGATTTGGGCACAGTAGATTAAATATTGAATATTATATAAAAAAACTAAAAATAAAGATATTAAAAATATTATTAAAAATAAATAAAGTTGCACAGCTTTAATATTTAATTTATTTATTATTAAATTACAATTATTATTTATTTGCTTTATTTATTACCTCATATACCACTATTATGACACTTTGAGTTGCAAAGACGACCAGATCTTTTACATTTACACCGGTTGGTCTTACACAATGTATTGCAAGTACCTACACCTATCGTACCCTTGGCCACCCAAATTAGGTTTTAGTTTTCACATTATTCACTTTTAAAATTAATTCGTCGTATTTTACTTTATTTGAAAATACAGCATTTGCATTTTTGTTTGATAGGTAGTAAATTGTTAAACTTCTCATTAAACTTTTTTTCCATTTTATGTTAGAAAATAGTACACAAATACTTAGAATATAGTTAAAAACGTTGACCAAAAGAAAAAATAACACTACACGCAACTTCACTACCTACACTACAATGTCAGACTACGTGACGTCGCCGTCGTGACAATAATCATTAGAAAATATCAAATAGGAATTTAACGATTCGATTATGAAATATTATCTACAACACTGTGTGATCACTTTATCCGTTATCGTTTAGATTACGGTTCGGTTCGTACTATCGCAGCTGTCGCGTTGTCGTGTACGAATAAAATATATAATTATAGTTTTGTAGTGATATTATTACGTATAAATGCAATTTGATATAAAAGTGTGCAGCGCACTGTATAATTTTAACTTTGTCCACTTGAATCTGGACAGGGTACACTTTGCCCGGGCAATCTAGTACAATGCCCGGTCAATGTATGACAAATTTGAGTATTAAAATGATCAGTCTTTCGTTGGCCAAAATGTTCGGGCATTGTTATACAATGCCCGGATTTCCTACTTTGCCCATAACATGATTGGAAAACCATCCAACGAAACCACACAGTATTGAATTTATCGTTGAATCAGTCACTAAAGTTGATACTTGATCACCCTTTCCCACATCAAATAGTTCTTTAAATTATATTTTTGTAAGCACTTTAATTTTTGAAATTTTTAAAATATAAATTTTTTGTCTTTTTTTAATTTTTAATAATGATTAAAAATGTTCCAATTGGTTGAGCAATAGTTTTTGAGTAACTAGAAATAGAATTATATGTATAATGTTTTCTTTGGAGAAACTTAAAGTTATACCACGGAACTTGCGAGTTATGTACTTAATGTAGTCATGTAGAGTCCGCGATGCATTGAGTTTATTTATTTATTTATTTATTTTTGGCATACAATTCGGACGCACCACAGAATTTGGAAAACGTATATGTTGGCGTGGAAAGCACTAACTATGTTTTGTATGTAAGCAATTTAAAACACCTTTTCAGTCATTTTCAGTGTCAGCAGAGATCCTTTATTCTTATTTACTGCGTACTAACTTTCCATGGCTACAAAGTACTTTACAAATAAAACAGGTATGCGTATGATTCTATTATATTATTCTTTGTTTCGAACGAAGCTCTAATAAGATTATTCTATATTATAATAACATTGTTAGTCGTCATGGAGATACAGACTTTTATATATTATATTATATGGGTAACTTAACAAATTTTTCTAAACGAGTTAACTTTTTGTGATACTCTTAAACATTTAAATTATATTTGACACGGGAATTTATAATTTGCAAGGTTATTTTCGATTTGGTAAGCCGTTACTGATTAGTGATTACACTGATAATTTATAATCAAACCGAGTATTTAGTATTTATACCATAGAGTAATATATAATATTACTCTATGATTTATACCTATCCTGATTTTTAATGTTATGTATATGAGCTTGTTTGTATGATGATGTGTGAGTATGTGAAAATATTGTTTTTTTAAGATCAAAAAGTTTAATATGTCTTATGATTATGATTTTACTTTCAACTATAGTTTATATTTGTTGATAATGATAAAATGTAAACCAAATATTTTCTGTGGTTAAGTAAATATTATAGTAGGCATTTGTTTTTTTAGCTAGTGAAATCATATCACAATATAGATTAGATGTGAAAAAAAAATAAATGGACACTTAATTGTTTGAAATGGGTGAAAATCCCATGATAAATATTGTTTATTCTGATTTTGTATTAAATATAATATAAAAATTTATGTGAAAAAATATATTAACATATTTTAAATACTATTTTACTATGTGGGTTACAATATAAATTGTTTTAATGGTGTCCGTATCCATGCCCATGTCCATGTCCGCCTCCACCGTGTCCGTGTCCGTGTCCGTGTCCACCATGTCCACCGTGTCCGTGACTACCGTATCCACTATTTCCACCGTATCCACCGTATCCACCATTTCCACCGTGTCCGTGACCACCGTATCCACCATTTCCACCGTGTCCACCACCATGTCCATATCCACCATTTCCGCCACCATGTCCATACCCGCCTTGTCCATATCCACTATTTCCGTATCCACCACCACCATTGTGGTGACCGCTCTTGCCTGGTTCAGGGATTGGTTCGGAAGTTGCTTGTTGAGTAATCACAAGGACGGCAAGGCATAAAGCTAATATCTATACAACAATAATATTTCAATCAATGTTAAGTTTATTTTTGAATAATCCGTATATTGTGTGATATAATTCTAAGAAATATAGGTATTTTAATTTTTTTTGTATATTTATTAAATGAATACAATTTAAAAATATATTTTAAGGGTTAAAAATAAAATGAATGATAAACCAATAAGTCGTTAAAATAATTAAAGAGTTATTTCAGTAATTAAATTGTAACGTATATTTATAAATAATATTAAACCACATAAATGCAGCTATATAGTAGGTAGGTACCTACATGAGTTAAATTTAAAGTACCTAAGTAATAGAAAACAGTAGTTTTATTATGGGGAACCCTCGGCAACATAGGCCATTGAGTGTGGGGTGGTGTGGTAGGGGTTATTTTTGTGTATTTGTTTGTAGGTTTTAAGTGGGTAGGGTTGTAACACATGTTTGTGTATGTGTGGCAAGGATATGATGCTAAAAATCCCCGGTGGTCACCCATCCGGGAGCTAGCAACTGCGGCCGGTACGTACGCTCAGTGCGTTTCCGCAGATTGAGCGTACGACCGCGCTTCACCAAGCCACAGAAAACAGTAGTTATAAAGGTATAATAGTAACAAGGATTAAAAACAAAATTGAATAAAGTATAGAATGTTAGTGGAAAAAATGTTTATTTTAGTTATTAAACAGAATAAGGATATCATTTTTTCTCGAAGGTAAATCAGTTTTTTTAAGACAAATATAAATTCTTCAACTATATTAGATGCTAGTTAAATTGGACTTTTTGCATTTGATTAGAAAATGTTGATTGGTCATAGAATAAAAAAGTTATTTGTTTACTACCTTAAAAAAATATATGTATTTAGTAAAATGATTAAAATATTTTGTAACTCAAAGTTAAAAATTCAATGAACTAACAATAATATTGAATAAGCAATACATACAGCTGTGTAGTATTTCATGATTCTTAAGATTGTTGAATATTTGTCTTTGAAAATGTAATGTTTACTGAGTACTGATACCTCTGCATCTGCTGGTTACCGTTTATATAGGATCTGCGGCTCCGCGCACGTTCTTATTTCGCCAATATATATAATGTAAACAAAATTTTAATCACAAGCAGTGTATTGACCTTCAACTTTATGAATGTTATCCAAGGAAATACCCAAACCAGTCTTTAAATTTTTTCCTTCTCACGAATAAACCGGTTAACTTAACTTCATAATATAATAATAATAAGGCGTATATTAATGTTACCTATTATATCATTATTGTTGTTAACATATAGACAATAATTTTTTTCAAACCCTTAGTTTTTATTTTGTGAAATGACCGTTATTTTAAAACTAATCTTACTAAGGTCGTCAAAACAACTAAAAAACACACAAACAATTTTTAATTTTTGATAAGCAACACACCATATTATTACTATATTGCATATAAATATATAATTCGAAGTAAAATCCATCATCCGTATAGTTATTATATATATTTAATTCTAGACAAGATACAAGATAATATAGATATACTTTGTAGGTACTTATTACATAGTTAATTGGGTATCAACGATGTACCTATTATATATTATATAAATCATATAATACAATGAAACTTATTTATTCGAACCACAAATGTGAAGTTCATTAAAACCAAAATATATTTTTGTATATTACATCATAAAGAGGGAATAATTTTATTGGGAGTGTCATTTCCAAGGAAAATTTTTTTGTCTAAAATAATTATTGTGGTAGGCATAAAATGAAAAAATAATTTAATCTAATAATTTAATTACGTTTCATTCAAAAATTAAAATATTATATTTTATTTATTAATTATAATTATTATTGTATTGTCTAAATTTCAATTTTTAAATTAATATTGTGAAATGCGTCATATTCACAGACTTGATGGAATTATTATATATGCAATAGTTGGTTTAATATTTTGACTTGGGTAATAATTTATTATGACAATTTAAAAAATATTTCCGTTTAAGTAATTATTATTGTTTCCATTATATTTGTATACTAGAATCTAGACACTCTTTTGTACTTTATTATGTATTATCTTCGGTAGTTCAGTTTACAATAAAAATAAAAATTATTATACGATGTGATTTACCAAGCATGCCCACCCTCATTTTTAGATAATTATTAATTTTGAATAACTGCTTTATTGAAGTAAAGTGGATTTAACAGGATGGTGAATTATTACTCTGTATAATTAATAGAATATGATTATATAATTTATAACGTGATTTTAAACCTCAACATTCAAATTTGGATATGTAATTTTTAAGCTGCAACATAAGATTTAAAAACATAATTTTGTTCTTTAGTAATTATCGGATGTAGTTTTAATCAGGTACCCACGTTTCAAAAGCTCTTTAGATTATTATTTTTTTGGTAAACATTCAATGTTTGACAGGGAAACGTATTAACTTTGCACATAAAGAAAATATTATTTTGTTGATTACTATTTATTTTATACTTTTTGTGCAATATTAATGTTCTGTACATTTGAAAAAATAATATTATATTCAATAAGGTCAATCGTCTCATATTCTCACAATATTACGTATCTCAAAATCTTATTACGTATTTTTTATGGATAGTTAAAAATGTCATTAACGTAATTTTATAACCTGAAGTCAAATTTACAAAAAAATTTTGTTTCTAATAAAATAATTTTTCGTCAAATAGGTACCTGCTATAGAGTTGTATCGATTTGGATGAGTGAAATGAAATTTATTAATGCGTCCCACAAAACTCATCTTTATAGGTTCTTCTTTTTCCTCGAGTCCGTCTAATCTTTAAAATTGAGAACGAGTGATTTCTGGTATCGGGTTTGATCTGGTTGGTACTTCAACAGGTAAAAAAAGCGGGTAAGTCTTAGATGTCGCTCTGCTGTACAGTAGGTTACTGTAATGGATGGAATTAAATTTGAATGCAATGATA